TTTTTTTTTGTTCTTCTGCTAATCTGCTGCCTTAAAAGGCAGCAGATTTGTTGCCTTTAAAAGGCAGCAGTTTAAGCCTTCAATTTGATATATTTTTTTTATTAAAAAGCTGGCGAACTCACGGGCCGGCTCGGGCAAAGCCCGTGTCCCCAAAATGGGGCTCTGCTCGAGCCTAAGCTCGGGTCTATCGAGCCCCAAGACGAGCCACGGGCGGTCCGAGCCGACGAGCCCGATTGCCATCTCTAATTGATATTGTATATTTTGCAGCACAAGAGAGTAAAAACTCGATAATTGATATAATAAAAGGGAGTTGAGAGGGTTGTAATCTTGAAAGAGCAATTGATATAAAAAATTTTTTTTGGGGGAAAGGGGTATTTATAGTAGAAAAGGGGGGGGGGGGGGGAGGGGAATAAAAAAATAAAATAAAATTCAGTGACCGGAACGGTCACTGGCTCGGCTCGCCTCCCGGTGATGCCCGAGCTGCCCACGAGCCTCTTTTCCACGAGCCGCGAGCCAGGTCGGCTCAATTGACATCCCTATGCCTCACCAAATCTAATAATATAACAAACAAAATATTAGCGAATGATTCGTAGTAGCTTGCATAATATGACAAACCAAGTTTCAAAATATATATTACTGTCCAATTTGTCTTACTAAAGATAACTCATTTTCCGTCTAATTCACTTTATGAACATTGATTTCAGCATCTTGAATTTGCAAGATTACAAGAACAACCAAAAATTATAGTCAAAACTATTAAATACCCATTTCCAATACAAATTCAAAACCTCAATATAAAAGTTAACAAAAAGTAAATGACACTGATCAAATATATCGTCTATATCAAATAATACATCTCCATCATAAACAACATAAGCTTTTTTGTATGTAATTACATCATGGGGCCGACATCACGAAACGAGCCAACAGCTTGGCCAAGATGAGGACAAACGTCATAATATATTTCATATCACGCAAACGAAGACCTGAAGAACTCAGGCTAAGCGTTTTTTCCTCGAATAAATTTGGAGGCATTTCTCATAAGCATGCCTAGCAAGCCATCAAAGATGAAGACTATTGTCACAAGACATCTCCTCGTATAAATAAAAACTTATAATTTAGAGACCTAAAAAACTGAGGATGCATTTGATATATTCAAATTTTCCATGAGAATCAATTCCAATTCTATGTTTTTGCTTGTTTGATAGCTTTATTTTTTCTTGGAATTCATTTTGTAGCTTTTTATGCCACCTAGGATTTTTCTTGCTTCATATAGCACTTTTTTTATTTTTTTCGAAATTTTTTTTTGGCAATAAAAACAAATTCTAATAATTACTATAAAAAAATATTTCCCTTTAACTGATAATTTTCATGTAAAACAAAGCCAAACGAACACAAAAATATAGATGATTTTCTTGAACTTTTTTGGTTTGCAATGGAAAAAAATTTCATCTCTAATACCAGTAAATTTTATCCCTTTAATCGACAATTTTCATATAAAACAAAGACAAACAAACATCAAAAAACACTTTTATTTCAACATTTTTTACGTGAAAAATTATACTAACCAAATACAATAATTTACAATTTTCAGAAAAACAATTTTTAGACAATTCAATTTCCTGAAATTCGTTTTCTCTTCATCTAAATTTCATCTTTACAATCAAACGGACCCAAAGCATAGATTTAGAGTTACTAGAGTTAAAGTAAGGGACAAGTAGACTACACTACACGAGTACATCCGCCCCAAGTATCATAACTAGCAGGAACCTTCCCTAATATATCAAAACATATGCAGCAGGATGGAAATCAGTGTCCAAATTCACAAATCACTCTAAATCCTCTACTCCAACATAAGTAATTAATTTGAACAGAGAACAAAATAACTTTAAATCCTCTACTCCAAAATAAGTAATTTATAACATTGTAAACAAAGCATTACCCTAATCTCCTTCAATTCGCAACAAATGGGAACTAGCTCCACATAAATCAAAGTTAAACATGGAAATTACAGCAGCAAACTATATTACCATAACAATACAAAGCCGGTTGAGCAACAGTTGATTGGTGATTGTCATTGGCAATGTCATAATTAACGAAGCATGAAAAGAAGTGTATCTTGAATCCTTGATATTCAAGTACAGAAGTAAACAAAACAAATCTTCTTTCATAATACGACTCTAGATACCAGAAATATTCTAGCCTCTGTAACAAACTAAAAAATGGTTCTTGAAAATCACCGAAATCTAAAATTCTAGAACTTGTATTGTGACAATATAAATTCATGGACTGTGTAAAGTTACGTAAAACACCTCTGCCAGGCCGGAAATTAAATACATTTAAAACATGCCAGACGCAGTAGCTATCCATTTGTAGTAACCATGATATAAATCTACCTGATAATCACAAACTTATTAGTACCATGTTTTGCCCAATAAGTCTTTAGATCAATTGGATTACTGAAGTTATATCCCTCTGCTGCAAGTTTCTCCAAAACCTTCTTGAAAGCACCCTGACTCATCTTTCGTCCAGCAATTCTAGCCCCACGTCTTTTAGTACTCATCGGCAAGGGATACATAGATATAGTTGTCGTGCAACAGGCTGACTGCCAACCACCACACCCCCATCGATAACACTGCTGTGGAGTACCCGTACAAGAGCAAACCGGAATTGAAATATCAGAAATATCCATATCAAATCCATTTATTACAATATCCATATTCTTTTTCGCTATTCTTGCACGCTGAACAGAGGAATTACCATTTTCCTTCCCTGCGGGGGGGCCTTTCCTAGACTTCTTTGCCTTTGGGGATTTATCGGTGATAGCAACTGACCTTTTTTTTCCACGGCCATAATCCTTCTGAACACTTGACTCCTCAATACTCACCTCTGTTTCTTTGGTTGTATCAGGCTGGTTTAACATCTGCATTGAATTCTGAGTTCCCGATGGTTCTGCAAGAACCGAATTATACACGCTCCCAGGGAACATATGTAAAAATTTATCTCTGTGATTTATCCAAGTGTCTCTCACATAGTCCAAGTGTGTGACAGGGGGTTCAGTAAAAGCAAAATCCCGGGGACGAAAAACCCCAGTTGCTGGAACAATAACAGGATTATCATGCCCAAATAGTAAAGGTTTTGTGTCCTGCTCCGTCAAAGATGACATGAGTTGAAGACCAAGATGCCCTTTAAGAGGAGGCTGTTCATAATAACCCCAATTTCTCATGTTCAATCCGTCGTCGTCCATAAGAACTAGAGATCAAGGTAAATAACACAAAACATTAGGTCATCACAATTCATTTCAATCTTATTTAGCCAAATGTACAATCAGCCAACAATCAAAATTGATGACTCTAATTTGACAATGTGATCAAAAGGTACATAGACCATATTAACAAGAACAGAACAACATCCTAAAG